TCATACTCGAACCTTGAAATCATGTCTGTTCGAACCGAGCCATTCGCGCGAGCATTCTGAAGTTGTACCTCGAGGGCAGAAGCCTTGGCCAAAGCATCCTTCTTAGCTGCAACCTGGACATCCACCCGAGCCTTTAGCTCACCGCACTAACGCTTGGCTTGACCAACTTCACCCTAAAGGCGTTCTAGGTCCTCCGTCCTTTTCTCCAACTGAAGTACCAAAACATTAATCTTAGAGGGTATAAGAAAAAGCATGCACCCCCTCGGAAAAAAAATTACCTGTTCCTCGAGATAGCTTTCGTAGTTCAGACATTGACTCGCCTCATACTACAAGTATGCCATCTCATCTTCTCTTTTATTGCAAAGAAGCCTGAGGGATTTCTCCCCATCCACGGATTTTTGCAACCTAGCCTCCCGACGGAGTAGCTCGGACTTGAGCTTATCAAAGGCCTACGAAAAAGAAGCTCAATAAGAAAATGAAGAAGTGAAAAACTGAAAAACCAAAACAGTTGATCAAAACTCACTACATAATTGAGCCTCTGAGTCTCCTCAAAGGTTGAGCGCGCATCTACTGACCTGGTCTCGTCGACCCCAGTAGAACCACTCCCGATAGAAATATGATCACTGAACACCCCACCTGTCTTAGGCGGCCCCTGGCCTCGAACATCCCTCGATGTACCTTCGACAGGAGATGAGGACAACGACAGAACACCTATATCCCTCGAAGTACCTTCGACGGGAACGGAAGGCGGAAAAAAAGGGGGGAACCATTTTTTCAAGGCGGGAAGCCTCGGGTGCTATAGGCTCGGTTGATGCATCCTCTTTGAGCCTCCGGGCAGGGCTTGTGTCGCTATGAGCACCCTCGTCCTTCGGAGGTCTTTTCCGTTTGTTATTATTCCTCAGCCCCGAAACCGATGACCTTTCCGCCTCTCCGAGAGAGCACGATCTCACCATATGGAATTCTTCAATGCCTGCGATGACTGCGTTATTACACACGGAATGAGGTACCCTCTAAAGAAAGCAAACTACACAGCACGTACCGTGGTGCTTTTCCTCCCATCTATCCTTCGACAGGCCTCGCCAGTTGCGCCCGTCATAGGTCGCGTGAGCCGCCAGCTTTAGGGCCCAATCCGCCAAGTCTGGGACCTCGTACAGCATCTACGAGATTGCTTCAAAAAAGAAAAAGAAAGCACCTTTACAGAGCCTGTCTCCATCATGAGCGAAAAAACAAAGACACGAGTGTACCACTTACGTATGACATTCCATTTCTCAAGAAACGGCATGAACTCCACAGGGATAACATCGACAGTCCTTACTCGGACGAATCGATTCATTCACCCTCGATCCCCATCTTCTTCTTCATCAACAACAAAGGACCTGGTGGATAGGCATCGTAAAGCTATCGGGCCTCGCCAATGAAATGGTCGGTACAGTCTGATGAGATGGCTAAGGGTGAACTCGAGCCCGGCTTCTTCCACGAAAAACCTCATCATCAGCACTGTCCTCCATAACGACGGGTGAACCTGTGCCAGGTAGCCCGATATCTTTGACAGAAGTCAAACACGACCCTATCGAGAGGGCCCAAAGTGAAAGAGGTATGGGTATACATGTAAAAACCCTCTGTATGAGGCATGATGTTCTCTTCCGGGGAAGATACCTGCAGCACCACCTTGTCTCCCCATCCGCAATCTCTCCCACTGCCTCAAGGTGCCCCTCTCCTATTGATGAAGTGAATCTTGAGGCATGACCCCAACGGCCCTCGACATTGGGGAGTGTATCTGAAGAAAGGTCCCTCCTCGAGATAAACCATCTTGAGTTCGGCTCGGCAGATGCCAGTGGTGTACCATCGATTGAGCGGGAAGCATAGGCGGAACCCTCCTCTTCCTGGTAAATGGATTTTGGCGTAGCAGCCATGGAAGAAAAATGAAAACTCAAGCAAAAACTTTGAATAATGGAAAGACTGGCGCCAGGAGAAGAACTTTATGAAAAAGGATAACGGCTCAAAATAGCGGAATCCTCAGAAAAGAAGGAAATAAACTCACATATAGAGCAAGCGGCAACTGCCTGCCTATCCTAAAAAGCCAATTAATTCTGGCTTGGCCATTATCACTTCCGGGAAAATGTACTGGCAGGATCGTCTTGGCCATCCCATAACTGCGTCGTATGATTAATACTATCGTACAATATTCATAGAATCAAAGGCTCCCTCGCTAACCTAGCCTCGAGATGGTACCCGATCTCGAGGATCAAACTACTTTGAAAATAGGCTCTAAGGAGCCATCAATATCATCATAAGCCTCGAGATGGTGCCCTATCTCGAGGATCTCTGCCAAAATGAATATAGGCTCTAAGGAGCCATCAATATCGCTCTAAGCCTCGAGACGGCGCCCGATCTCGATGATCTCTGTCAAAACAAAAGATAAGCTCTAGGGAGCTATTCATATAAAACCTAACCTCGAGGTGGTACCCTATCTCGAGGATTTCTACTATTACAAATAAGGGTTACTCACCCGATTCTTTGGCCCTCGAGCTACCCAAGCCCAAGCCAGTTTTCATTCGAGAATTATTATTAAAGCCTTAGGGCTATTTTTGCCTTCAGATCAAGTTAAGCGCTATTTTGGTTACTTTAGTCCGGGGGCTGTTCGGTTCCAGGCATACCCTCATCCGGGTCTATTTATAACGCCTCAGGGCTATCTTCACTCTAAGGTCAAATCAGGTTTTTTAGGCCGCCCGAGCTCGAGCAAACTCCCACCCGTGGACTGTCTGAGAAAGTCTAAGGGCTATCTTTATTCTCAGATGCTCGAGCAAATTCTCCCTCGAGGACTATCAACGGGGCCTAAAAGGCTAAAATTCGTTTTAAAATTCGAAGCCTCACTCTCGCTCAATTCGAAGTCAGAGGTCCCGGCGGCCTAAGTTTGTATCAATTCAATCCGGGCTCAGTCCAAGGAATGGCAAAGGGTTCCAAGGAATATAGTATTAACCAATCAGGAACCGAGGGAATACCTACGCCCGGGTCCGGTATTCGGACCAATCGGTAATGTCACATGCTCAGATTCTTCACAAACTTAAATAAAGGGAAATCCAACACAAATCAGAGAAAAATTGGAGAAACATTTTTGTATTAATGAACGATGATTACAAAAGCCCACGAAGGGTCCTTACAAATGATTACAAAATCCCATGGAAGGTCCTTACACAGAAACAAAGAAGCAAAAAATAACAACTAAAGGTCTAATCTACTGTCGGAGGTACAACCCCGGCGGCAACTTCTGCAAGAACCATTCCCTCGGAGATCCCATCTTGACCTTCCAAACGTTGTCTTCGAGAACCTCCTCCGAAGCGGAAAAAGATGGAGAAGCAAAAAATGATGAAGAAGTAGAAAAGATGAAGAAGAGGTCGTAGCTCGCCAAAGAGCAAAAGTTTTTAGCAGGCCTAGGAAATTGCAGCCTGATAGAAGACATGGCGAGCGCAGGCCTTACCGGCACGGCCACTTTGAGTCCACTTCTTGGAACATTGTGCCATGCAAGTTAGTAGCTGGTAGTGCCGCTTCACTCCACGAAAAGCAAAAGGGGTGAAGTGCCACACCAGGCTAAATAGGGAGGTGAGCAGCAGTGTAAAGTTCGAACGTCCTCGGAGCAACAGTGTAAGTTCTAATATCTTCCTGTGCAGGAAGAATTCTGCGCCCTCTCTCACCATCTCGAGCCAGCGATGACAGTAGTAGCAACAACAACAACAACAACAACAACAAACCAATGCAATCCCACTCAGTAGGAGAGAGCTCTGAGAAAGAGCCATAACATAACCGGCGAAAGCACTGCCGTGTAACCTTATGGTCACGGGCTTTAAACATGGGAAATAAAATTGGGTGAGGACGAAGAGAATAAAGGAGTTAAAGGCTGTTGAAGAATGACTGGATGAAGTTTTGGTTCAAGAAAGCTTTCATTTATAGAAAGAAGGTAGTGCAACTAACAGCGTAATCAATGCCTTTGGGAAACGTATCGACAGGGGCAATCAATGCTTTTCGGGAGACGGATCGGCGGCAGTATTATCGCCTTGAGAAAATAAACCGACGCTGCACTGAATGCTTCTAGAAAAGATGTACCGATGGGATGTCTCAGTTATCACAAAACGCTTATGTCATGAGCATGATGTCATCGCAAGAGGCTCGAGAAGATAGGTGTCGAAACCGTTTCTTATCATTTAAATCTAAGAAACGCGGGGATTATCTGTATACGGTAAAACTCAGAAGGTCCGATTTTGTGATCACTAAGGCACCTCGTGAAGACCGTCCTAGAAGGCTCGAGGTTGGGTTCGGGGTTCGACCCTCAAGGTTTCCTAACGTTCGACCTCGAGATTGTGCAAATCGATGATTATCATGAGAAAGCGGGAAGTTCCCAAGGCGTATGATCTAAAAGCTGACAAAACCTTCAAGAGAAGCGCTAGTCTGTACCAAACTAGCAAATAGTTGTACCAGCTATTTTTCTTTGTAATAAATGCATCTGCACCATGTTCAGATTCCCCCTCATATATATAGGGGACCCTTGTCATTTTGTAACACACACAATATAATATACAACACACAACATTGAATAGAAGAACATTCTCTGCTCTCTAACTTAAATACATTCTCCCTTGATTCTATTATTTATATTTATTGGCTGCTATTAGTTGTTCTTCATTTATTGTTCATTATTGATCACAAAGAGCCTTCATCAAAGCTCTCAAAGTTGTTAGTCCTTCATCGACTGTCAATAACTTAGCCTCGAGCTCGACCTCGAGGCCCCGTATAACCAAGCTCGAGGCCCCGATCCTCAGCCATTCGGTTTGCTTAAACCTAGTATCTTCAAGCTCTTATCTTATTTTCTAGTCTCTTACTTAGCATCTATTGCTTAACAACTAGCATAAAAATAAATCATGTATTTTTAGAACCACAAAATCAAATCTAATTGTTATTACCATTTTCAAGGTAAACACGATCCTGCCCAAAGAAATCAAACTTTGATGTGCAAATATCATGGCACGCAAGGTCAAAAGACCAAGGATTGCAGGCAATTAAGAGAGGAGGTATCCCGTCTATTCAACGAGGTCCACCTTCGAGAGTTCCTTATCGATCGATCCAAAAATCATTTCAGAGACAGAGACGTTAACAGGAAAAATGAACAGGAGGAACCACAGCATGCTATTCATATGATCGTCGGCGGGCTCGATATTCCACAAGGGCCCGTATCCAAACACACTAAGGTATCAATTACTAGGGAGAAGCGGACCCGGGATTATGGTCCCGAGGGCTCCTTATCATTCAATGATGAAGAAGCAGAAGGCATTTCTCAACCACACAATGACGCTCTGGTAATTTCTATCTTACTAAATAAAGTTCAAGTTAAGCATGTTTTAGTAGATCCAGGTAGTTCGGCGAATATCATTCGCTCGAGGGTCTTGGAGCAACTCGGCCTACAAGATCAGACTGTGCCCACAGCACGAGTCTTAAATTACTTCAACATGGCCAGTGAAACAACTAAATGGGAGACTACCCTAACGGTGAACGTGGCTGGAACCATTCAAGATACCAAGTTCCACGTGATCGAGGGCGACATGAGATACCACGCCCTACTCGGAATGCCCTGGATTCACAAAATGAGAGCAGTCCCTCGAACCTTTATTGTTCCCGAAGACTCTCACGTTACCAAGTCAACAATCGAGGTGCTAGAACAGCTTATATTGATCGAGTACCTGCCCGAGCGAAAGGTATACCTGGGAATGGTGTTAACCCCGAGCTCAGGAAAAAGCTTATTCAGTATCTTAGCGATAACATGGATTTTTTTGCTTGGTCCCATTTAGACATGACAGGGATCCCACCGGAGATAACAATGCATCAGCTAAGCCTTGACCCTAGGTTCAAACTGGTGAAATAAAAGAGAAGGCCCCAGTCAGTGGTAAAGCATGCATTCATAAAGGACGAGGTAACTAAACTTCTCAGAATAGGGTCCATTCCGGAGGTAAAATACCCCGAATGGTTAGCCAATGTGGTCGTAGTCCCTAAAAAAGCGAACAAACTTAGAATGTGTGTAGACTACAAGGATTTGAACGAGGCATGGCCTAAAGACTCTTTTCCACTACCTAACATCGATCGCATAATCGATGCCACGGATGGCCACGAGATCCTTACCTTTCTCAACGCCTATTCCGGATACAATTAAATTCAGATGAACACCGAAGACCAGGAAAAGACCTCATTTATCACCAAGTATGGAACGTATTATTGGAATGTAATGCCCTTCGGGCTAAAAAATGTAGGAGCTACTTACCAACACCTAGTAAATAAGATGTTCGAAGAACAAATAGGGAAGTCAGTGGAAGTTTATATTGATGACATGCTAGTTAAGTCCCTGTGCGTAGAGCACCATTTGGCTCATTTACAGCGAACTTTCGAGATTTTAAGGAAATATAACATGAAACTCAACCCCGAGAAATGTGCTTTCGGGTTGGCTCGGGCGAATTCCTGGGCTTCATGGTGTCCAATCGGGGGATCGAGATCAACCCCGATAAAATAAAGACCATCAAAGATATCACCGTCGTAGAAAGTGTAAAAGTCATGCAGAGGCTAACTGGACGGATAGCTGCTTTAGGCCAATTTATCTCGAGGTCATCAGATCGAAGCCACAGATTTTTCTTTTTACTCAAGAAGAAGAACGACTTCACCTAGACCCGGAATGCCAACAAGCATTAGAGGAATTAAAGTGATACCTATCGAGCCCACCATTGCTTCATACTCCGAAGGCAGATGAGAAACTTTAATTATACTTGGCGGTATCGGAAATTGCGGTGAGTGGTTTCCTAGTTCGAGAAGACCAAGGTACGCAATTTCCCGTTTACTATGTAAGTCGAACCTTAGTTGAAGTAGAAACTAGATATCCACACTTAAAGAAATTAGCATTTGCACTAATAAACGCTTCTAGAAAGTTAAAACCGTATTTTCAATGTCACCCCATATGTTTGCTAACCACTTACCCACTTTGTAATATTTTGCAATAGCCCAAACATTCGGGTCGATAGGCCAAATGGGCCGTCGAACTCAGTGGGTACGATATCGAGTATCAATCCCGAACGGCCATCAAGTCTCAAATTTTAGCGGACTTCGTGGCCGATTTCACGCCAAACCTCGTACCCGAAGTTGAAAAAGAACTCTTTTTAAAATCGGGCACATCATGGGGGGCATGGACCCTTTTCATAGATGGCGCTTCTAATGTGAAGGGGTCCGGGCTAGGAATCATTTTGAAGCCACCCACAGGTATCACTATTAGGCAGTCTATCAAAACATCTAGGTTGACTAACAATGAGGCCGAGTACGAGGCCATGATTACAGGTCTCGAGCTAGCTAAAAGCTTGGGGGCAGAAGTCATTGAAGCCAAGTGTGACTCTTTATTGGTGGTGAACCAAGTAAACAAAAGCTTTGAAGTTCGAGAAGATTGAATGAAAGGTATTTGGACAAGCTACAGGTAACTTTGCAGCGCTTTAATGAGTGGACTCTAGATCACGTACCTCGAGAACAAATGAGGCTGATGCACTTGCAAATTTGGGATCATAAGCCGAGGAAGACGATATTATCCCGGGTACTGTCGTTTAATTATCGAGATCTGTGGTCGAGGAGGGTCATGCCGAGATTAACTCTACAAGCTTGACCTGGGATTGGAGGAATAAATATATTGAATATTTAAATAACGGAAAGCTCCTATCGGACCCTAAAGAGTCCAGGGCCCTACGAACCAAAGTTGCTCGATTCACATTGGATGAAATGGAACATTATACAGAAGGACGTTCGATGGACCATTGGCGGTATATTTAGGGCCGGGGGACACAGACTATGTTTTACGAGAGGTCCATGAAGGCACTTGTGGTAACCACTCCGGCGCCGAATCTTTGATTCACAAAATCATTAGAGCATCGTACTACTGGGATAGCATGGAAAAAGACACTAAGTAATTTGTTCAAAAATGTGATAAATGTCAAATATTTGCATCGATGATCCATCAGCCCGAAGAGCAACTTCAATCAATCCTATCCCCATCGTCATTCATGAAATGGGGGATGGATATAGTCGGCCCTCTACCAACGGCCCCAGGTAAAGCTAAGTTCATTTTGTTTATGACTGACTACTTTTCTAAATGGGTGGAAGCACAGGCCTTCGAGAAGGTCAGAGAAAAAGAAGTTATAGACTTCATGTGGGACCACATCGTGTGTCAATCGGGATACCTGCCGAAATCATATGCGAAAATGGAAAGAAATTCATTGGAAACAAGGTAACGGAGTTCCTTGAAGAACACTAAATAAAAAGGATCTTATCGACGTTGTATCACCCAAGCAGAAACGGACAAGCCGAATCGACAAACAAGACTATCATTCAAAACTTAAAGAAAAGGTTTAACGATGCTAAGAGGAAATGGAGAGAAGTTCTACCCGATGTTCTTTGGGCGCATCGAACGACATCGATGTCCAGCATGGATGCAACCCCGTTCTCCATACTATATGGCTCCAAGGCCTTAATTCTAGTCGAGGCCGGGGAACCTAGCGCCAGATTTCGACATGCAACGGAGAAATCAAATCACGAGGCTATGAATACTAGCATCGAACTATTGAATGAAAAATGAGAAGTTGCGCTTGTTCGGATGGCTGCACAGAAACAAAGAATCGAGCGATATTATAATAGAAGAACCAACCTTCGCCACTTCGGAATCGGGGACTTAGTTGTAAGGAAAGTCACCCTCAATACTCGAGACCCAAACAAAGGGAAACTAGGACCAAATTGGGAAGGACCATATCGAGTCATTGGCGTCATTGGAAAGGGATCTTACAAACTTGGCACAATGGAGGGCAAACAATTGCAAACAATTGGAATGTATCACTACTCAAACGATAGTATTGCTGAGGTATGGCTTTCTCCTTTTTCCATTTGTATTTTATGCTAACTTATTGTAGGTGTTCGATCGAGGCGTCGAGAAAACTCTTCAACACGAAAATCTTAGGTTTTAAAGCACGCGTTGCACTCTCTTTCCCTCAGGTCGGTTTTTATCCCGAACGGGTTTTTCCGGCGCGGTTCTTAACGAGGCAACAATTATGTGCTACCTGAGGAAAATTCAACAGTATCCAAGGCTTCTTTTCAATCAACCTCGAATACTGGGGGGGAATCACCCTCGGAGGTTATATTTTCGAGAAAAATACTTCATGTCAAAGGGTCTTGATAGGGAAACCTCGTAATGGGCCAAACGGTCAAGTGAACCGTGTCCATATAGATTAGTCGAGCCCCGATGAACATGTACGCATGTATAAATTATTCAAAGAAGCATCCTTTCTATATCAAACACTTTGTGTCTCAAAGAAAATTTACTACTACACGAGCTCCATACTTATGTTTTAGTGAGAAATGGCTCAAGGGCCAACTACCTCGAATACTCGAGGACTGATATCGACAATCAACATATTCGAGTTATCTAAACTCGAACTGATAAGAGCTCAAAGAGGCGTCCCTCGATCTATAGGCCAAGGCTATCTTTCTCGGGGACTAACATATCGAACATGTTCGAAGTTTTATTGGGGAATAAGCCCAAGAGGCATACCCGAAGGCTACGGCCAAATTAATACGGCTCGGAGACGTCCGAACCCCGCAATCAAAATAGGCCTTCAAGTTCTTTGAAAAACTGGTTAAAAAAGGCTACCCTCGGTAAATAATAAAAGGGTTTCGATAAAATCAGCCCTCGAAAAAACTCAAGAGGTATCAAAATTATCTTAACACAAACGTGGTAAGGCACAAAAAGTATAAGGGTTTCAAATCAACATCGAACCCTCAAAAAACCCAATGGGTAAAACATACATGCTAACGCATAAAGAAATTTTCACAAAGTATTTTAAGCCAAAACAGGGGAATAATAGCCATCTTTTAGAGGCCATAACGGCCCGATCTAAAAGAGCATAAGGCCCAATACACTTAGAGTTCGAGATCTTGCTCTCACTCAATCCGAACCCAAGGGTTCGATTTCCCAAGCCCAAATAAACATTAACTTGATTATGGCTTGGGGACTCACCGTTATTCGACACAAACCCTTAAGGGTCTATGGCTCAAAGTTCGAACCTTATTCGAACTCGACCATGGTAACCTCAAGGAAGCCACCCGAGACAAATTCTCGAAACACCGTTCAAAGCATAAGATTATGCTAAAATTTTGCAAGGCAAAAAAACATATTTATAAAGATTGAGAAGGCATTCAAGAGAAATTTTCATTTATATATTTGAAAAAAGATATGTACAAGAGACCAACAGAGGTCTTACAAAAAGATAAAGAAAAATCCTAACTATAACCGGGTTTGGTTTCTCCCTCGGGAGAAGCTTCTCTTTCAAGCTCCTCATCGCTCTCGGACCCGCCTTGGTTGCCTTCATCATCATCGTCGTTATCAGAAGAGACGAGAAATCTAGCATCAGCTTCAAGCGCCTTACCTTGAGTTATTTCTTCAGGAAGGTCGTAACCTCGAGCGTGGATCTCCTCGAGGGTCTCCCTCCGGGATTGGCACTTGAACAAATCATTGCTCTGTCACACTCGACCGGAAGCCTCCCTTAGTTATTTTTGAGCAGCCTCAGTATCAGCCAAGTATACGGCAATAGTTTTGTCAGTCGCGATCTTCGTCTTCCCGACCTCTGCCTTGGCCTCAGCAAGCTTGACCTAGAGCTCATCGATCTTTTTAGCTTGGGATGAACTTTTGTATTTAGCGCCCCGAAGGGGGGCCCCGGCAGATGCCAGTTTGGCCAAAGCAGTCTCCTTCTCCGCAGCAAGGCGGTCCATGTTCTCCTTC